CTGTGTCTTTGTGTGTCTGTGTGTGTGTCTGTGTGTGTCTGTCTGTGTGTCTCTGTGTGTGTCTGCGTGTGTGTCTGTGTGTGTGTGTCTGTGTGTGTCTGTGTATGTGCGTCTGTGTGTGTATGTCTGTGTGTGTGTGTGTTTAAACAGGAGCATATAGGCTATGCCCTTTGTAACCTGTTCTTTTCACTCAATAATTTTCCATGCCAGTAAATACAATTCGATGACATATTTTTCAGTGACTATAGAATAGTTCGTCACTCCACCATCTGTATGTGCTATAATTTAGTTCACCAATCCCCTGTTGTTGGACATCTGCATTGTCTCTGGTGTTTCATAAGGCTTTCCATAACTCTCAATTATTTCTGTGGGACAAATCTCTAAATGTGGAATTGATGGGTCAAACGTAAAAACATTTGCCGGCTTTTGATACATAACTAACAAGTTACCTTCAGGGAAGTTGTTTCAATTTACACTCCGACCCAAACTAGACCCCTAGGTGATTTTTCCTCTCCTCTTGCCAACACTGAATATTACCACTGTTGAAGTTTGGCCAGCTTTGATGTCTTTTTAAAGTTATCTCTCAGTGTTGTTTTAGTTTGCACTTCCTTTGAATCTAATGAAGTAGAACGTTGTTTTGTATTTTATCCATTATTTGACTTTCTTCTCTTATGGATTCATTTGAATTGACTTTGTGTGTTCATAATATATGCTTAAATTTCCACATTAACTTACAGATGCTCTTTATATAGTAAAACCTTTGCTTTGTTCTTGAAAACATTTTTTTCCAGCGGTTTTTGTCTTTTAACTTTGTTGTTTTTCTGCATTGATGTTCATAATTTTTATGCAGTGAAATCTGTCATCTATTCTTTCATTATGCTTAGAAAGTTCCCTTTATGGGATATGAAACTGTGTGGCAATGATTTTGAACATGGAGGATTTCCCTGTCAATATATAAATGCCTGAATTTCACCCCAAAATGGAAACTACAAAGAGACTGATCACTAAGAGAGGGATTGGAAAGTCTGTTACCATTGAGGTTTATAAACATTAAAACATCTGCATGACCGACAAATACAGATGCAAAACTTATGGCATGAGCATGGCAGTGTAGTTTCAGTATTTTTTCCCCTTTTTTGTCTGGAAAGCATACAAAAGGACAAAGAGAATGAGGGGATACAGAAGTATAAATCTAGTACCATTTTTTTTCTAGATATATTAGTTAGGATGAGTAATACTAGCTGCTACA